ACTGGGGTTGTGTTTCCTCCAGCTAAACCCGCCTTGCCCCATGGTGGGCATGGAAGGCTTGCTGCGGGTGGACGTGGTGGCATTCCTACCATCTTACATAGGTCTTTCCAGGTAGAGGGAGGGGACTGTGTCTGTGCTGGCGCTCGTGTGACACCTCCCCGAGGCCGGGCTCTCACTACACTTATTTGTTCAAACGCTTCACGGTTTCCCCAGGCTGCTCCAACCCTTCATTTTTCCTCCCAAGTTAGAAATTGAGCTGCCCTGGGGGAAAATGTACTGGCAAAGCCGTGAGGTGACCTCACCAGAGCCCAAGTAAAGAGAGTTGAGCAATGAAGGCGAAGGAGGAGAAAAAAAAAAACAAAACCACGGCAGGCAGACTGCAAAGGCTTCCTTGCTGTCGGTAAACCTCTGCAGTGCCAGGGACTGACGTGCTGCAGAGGCACCACCCGCGATAAAGCGGGACCAGACCCCATCCCTTGGCCAGCGGTGGGAGCGCAGAGGGGTCCTGTCACCCCGGGGGGACACCCGGCACCCAGGCAGGGCCCGGCTCCTCAGGAGCACCAGGGGGAAAAGTTCAGGTGAGTACACAGAAGGTAAATGTCACGCTGTGAAACACCCCGGAGAAGAGCCGTGCCCAGCGCTTTCCCCTGCATGTCTGTTCCCAGCCCCAGCGCGGTGGCTCGGTGACCCAGGAGATGCCCCTTACCCACACAACGGTCCCACCAGCCCCATGGCTTTTTCCCATCTCACAACCTTCAGCAAATTTGCAGATGACACCAAGTTGGGTGGCAGTGTCGACCTGCTGGAGGGCAGAGAGGCTCTGCAGAGGGATCTGGGCAGGCTGGATCGATGGGCTGAGACCAACGGGATGAGTTTCAATAAGGCCAAGTGCTGGGTCCTGCACTTGGGTCACAACAACCCCAGGCAGCGCTACAGGCTGGGGGCAGAGTGGCTGGAGCTGCCTGGCAGAAAAGGACCTGGGGGTGTTGGTTGACTGTCGGCTGAACATGAGCCAGCAGTGTGCCCAGGTGGCCAAGAAGGCCAACAGCATCCTGGCCTGTATCAGGAACAGTGTGGTGAGTAGGACCCTGGAGGTGATTGTCCCCCTGTACTTGGCACTGGTGAGACCCCACCTGGAGTACTGTGACCAGTTTTGGGCCCCCTACCACAAGAAAGACATTGAGTTGCTGGAGCGGGTCCAGAGAAGGGCAACAAGGATCGTGAGGGGTCTGGAGAGTAAATCTTATGAGGAGAGGCTGAGGGAGCTGGGGTTATTCAGCCTGAAGAAGAGGAGGCTGAGGGGAAACCTTATTCCTCCCCTCTCCCCGGGGCCCGGCAGCCGGTACCGGCCGCCGCCTCCCGGCCCCAGCGCCCCTCGGCCCCGCGGTGCCTTCCCCCTCCTCACAGCGCCCCCTGGCGGCAGCGGCGGGGCCCTGCACCCCCCGTCCAGCCTAGATGATTCTGTGATTCTGTTCCGAGCCCTTTCAGACGCTCTGGCCGTTACAGCCAGCACCAGCGCCCCTCTGCCTGTGGCTGCCGGCAGGGGGCGGGTTCCCTGGGTGCCCGGTGCGGTGCGGCCCCGCGGTGCCGGCCCTGCCCACACTCCCTCCCCTCTCCCCGGGGCCCGGCAGCCGGTACCGGCCGCCGCCTCCCGGCCCCAGCGCCCCTCGGCCCCGCGGTGCCTTCCCCCTCCTCACAGCGCCCCCTGGCGGCAGCGGCGGGGCCCTGCACCCCCCGGCCTGACGGCTGCCGCCGGTGGGGAGCAGGAGACCGTTTTCGTAGAATCATGGAAGGGTTTGGGTTGGAGGGGACCTTAGAGATCATCGAGTTCCACCCCCCTGCCATGGGCAGGGACACCTCCCACCAGAGCAGGTCGCTCAAAGCCCCATCCAGCCTGGCCTTGAACACTTCCAGGGATGGGGCATCCACAGCTTCTCTGGGCAACCTGTTCCAGTGTCTCACCACCCTCACAGGAAAGACTTTCTTCCTAATATCTAATCTAAATCTCCCCTCTTTCAGTTTAAAACCATTACCTGTTGTCCTATCGCTACACTCCCTGATAAAGCATCCCTCCCCACCCCTCCTGCAGGTCCCCTTCAGGTACTGGAAGGCTGCTATAAGGTCTCCCCAGAGCCTTCTCTTCTCCAGGCTGAACAACCCCAGCTCTCTCAGCCTGTCCTCACAGGAGAGGTGCTCCATCCTTCTGATCATTTTTTGTAGCCCTCCTCTGGCCCCGTTCCAACAGGTCCATGTCCTTCCTGTGCTGAGGACTCCAAAGCTGGATACAGTATTCCAGGTGGGGTCTCACGAGCACAGAGTAGAGGGGCAGAATCACGTCCCTCAACCTGCTGGCCACGCTTCTCTGGATGCAGCAAAGGCAAAAAAGGCTCCAGTTTAGGGCTGGGGAACCAAACTGAGGAGCTGTGTCTGACTCAGGCTCCTTAAGCCACCAACAGCATCAGCACAGCAGCCCTTTGCCTCATCCCTCCCAGCAGGGAAGACTTTGCAGTGCTGTCCTTCGTCTTCTCACCCAGGGGCCGCAGGATCAGTCTCTGACTGTGACCAGCAACATGCCCCATGGAGGCACATCAGCATCAACGGACTGTTTTAGCATGTCACAAAGGTAACGACCTCCATCTTGGCCCTACTTGTATCCGTCATGCTATCAGGAGGTGGGACTATCCACCTCCTGGGGCACTATCACCAGCTTCATTAATGACAGGGTGACACAGATCTATTACATACCAACCTACACACAGGTCTATTGCATACAGATACTTAAAGGGAAGGTGTCAGGAGGGCAGGGCTGGTCTTTTTTCAGTGGTGCCCAGGGATAGGACAAGAGGAAACAACCACAAACTCAAACATAAGAAGTTCCATCTAAACATGAGGAGGAACTTCACTTTGAGGGTGGCAGAGCACTGGAACAGGCTGCCCAGAGAGGTTGTGGAGTCTCCATCTCTGGAGACATTCAAAACCCGCCTGGACAAGTTCCTGTGCAACCTGCTCTACCTGCTTGGGGGGGGGGGTGGTGGTTCACTAGATGATCTCCAGAGGTCCCTTCCAACCCCATGTGATTCTGAGATTCTGTGATTCTATTAGAAATGAGCACGCACCATCTGCTACCTTTGTTTTTTCAGTGTCCAAGAAATGTCACTGGATCTAACAAATTAAAGTCAAACAGGCACTTGAAGTCTGGTTCGCAGGCAGGATGGCTCAAACAACAACAAGAAATTCTATTTAGAGGACTGCAAAGCTCTTCAGAGTAATACTTCCATTAGACATGGCTCTGGGAAGCCTGTTCCATTGCCAGCCCCGCTGACCACATCCCACTGTGTGTCTACAATGACATTTCGGTTCAAGAGCCCTTCTGAAATGCATCTCCCATCTGTCCCCGCTTACTGCCTGTGGCTCCCTGACACCAGCCGGTCTTGGAGTGCAGCGAGCGGATTCCTTTCAGACCAAGTTAAACAGGAAAACAAACTGTAGGAGTAGCCCTGACGTGCTCTGCTGGCTAACGGGCCTTCAGCCCACCTGCCCTAGAGCAGGGCTACAGCAAGGTGGATCACAGAATCACAGCATCACATGGGGTTTGGAAGGGACCTCTGGAGATCATCTTGTCCAACCCCCCTGCCAGAGCAGGTCCACCCAGAGCAGGTTGCACAGGAACTTGTCCAGGTGGGTTTTGAATGTCTTCAGAGACGGAGCCTCCACCAGTTCTCTGGGCAGCCTGTTCCAGTGCTCTGCCACCCTCAAAGTAAAGAAGTTCCTATTCATGTTTAGGTGGAATTTCTTATATACAAATTTGTGCCTATTTTCTCTTGTCCTATCCCTGGGCACCACTGCAAAAAGACTGGCCCCATCCTCTGGACACCCACCCTTTAAGTATTTATAGGCATTGATCAGATCCCCCCTCAGCCTTCTCTTCTCCAGACTAAAAAGACACAAGTGCCTCAGCCTCTCCTCATAAGGGAGATGCTCCAGGCCCTTAATCATCTTTGTAGCCCTCTGCTGTAAACCCCTCCAGCAGTTCCCTGTCCTTCTTGAACTGGGGAGCCCAGAACTGGACACAGTGCTCCAGATGGGGCCTCACCAGGGCAGAGTAGAGGGGCAGGATGACCTCTCTCGACTTGATGAAGAGGTCACACTCTTCTTGATGCCCCCCAGGGTGCCATTGGCCTTCTTGGTCACAAGGGCACATTGCTGGCTCACGCTCATCCTATTGCTCCCAGGTCTTTCTCCTTAGAGCTGCTCTCCAGCAGCTCAGCCCCCAACCTGTACTGGTGCTTGGGGTTATTTCTCCCCAGGTGCAGCACCCTACACTTGCCGTTATTGAAGTACATCAGGTTCCTCTCTGCTCAGCTCTCCAGCCTGTCCAGGTCTTGCTGGATGGCAGCACAGTCCTTCATCGTGTCAACAACCCCTCCCAGTTTTGTATTGTCAGCAAACTTGTGGAGGGTACACTCCATCCCTCCATCTCCAGGGATGTAAAAGCCCTGATGGGTCAGGCCTTCAGCATCACCTGCTGCGTGCTATAGATCTGCCAGTGTTACAGACTGACACACACAGCCCCCCCCACCCACAGCGACCCCCCTCTGGGGTGACTACGAATGAAGATGCCTGTGTACACCTGTAACGTGGGGCAGCAAGGCAGGGGGGGCAGCAGGGACCAATTCTGCACTTCTGTCCCTTCCAACCAAGAGACTGTGGAGGTGGCAGCTCAGGCGATGCTCCCTGAGGCAGTTCTCACTCTCCCAAGGAGGAGGGAATTAATGCTGGAGGGGCCGAGGGAGGGGACCCTGGTGCTTCCCCTGGGGGCTGGCAGGAGGCACAGCCTCATGTTGAGACAAATTCTTCAGGCAGAGCAGAGCAGAGCAGTCCCAGCCCACCTGGGCCTGGAAGGAACAAGGACAGCATGGGGCTGGTGAAGGGTGTGAGCGTTTCAAAGCACTCCGTAATGTTTCTATTAACCCAAAGCACTTAAAAACACGCTTCAGCACTTAACCTGCAGGTTAGTTTATTAGCAGAAAACATGTTTTGCTGTAAGGCAGACAATTAACAGAGAATTTTCGTCATTCTCAGTCAAGAGGCCAGGTCATTACTGACAGGTAATACCTGCAATTAAAATGACTGCCCTGAAATGAACGGCAGAGGCCCAAAACGCGTAAGGACATTTCATACAATGTATAAAATATATAGCTTTTACATTTCTTAATTTTAAATACATCGTTCTTTTTTATGTAAGAAATAAACATCCTAGAGTTCATTTGCAAAACAAGCACTGCAGGAGAAGTCCGGTCACCCGTGGCTCTCCCTGGTGAGCAGATGACATGCACAGCAGCACTTACAGAGTCCATGGGTTGAGAGAGAAACCCCATCCACACTGTTCCTGTTGTCCAGGGTAAAGACCCTACTTTTGTAATCACAGCAAGAGCTAAAAGAAGTAGAGTTACACTGATAATGGGAGCCTGCAGAGATTTGGGAGCATCTGGAGGAATCTGTAGAAATACAGCACGACTTGGAAGAAATCAAGCCAGACTTGGAAGCCGTCAGCCCTACAAGCAATTCAAAGTTTCATGGAAAGTTTTGTACAAAAATCCTCTTTTAAAAAAAAACAATAAGAAGTAAAGGTAAAATCTTAACTCCTCACGAAGTACAGACTCCCAGCAGCATTCACTGAAGCGTAGTCATTTAATGCGTGTGGTATGTGACTTCTATCTTGATTCACCTCTCCATGTACCCAGGCCACCTACGACGTTTCAGGGACTTTTCAATTTCAGCTGTTCCTATAAAGACACTGACTTCTTTACTCATTTTGGTACCAGCTGACTAATCACTATAAAACTTGAAAGGGCCTTAAACTTGCCCTTGTTTTTTTTTTTTTTCCTGCTTCTACCTCAAGCAGAAGACTGATTATGGAAACAAGAAGGTTTCAGTGGGTGGGGTTGACTTTTTACTCTAATCTGGACAGCCTTCCTCTGATCTGTAGGAAAAGCCAAGAGTATTTATTCTAAGACTAGATGCTTAAAAGAAGTGTGTGTGTGAAGCAAACAGGCCAAAGTAAAATATTTATGATTTAAAAACAGATGACAACCTTGCTTATGAAAACACCAGCATTTCACTTTAAACTCATAATGAAACTATCTTTGATGAGAAGAAAAAACTGTCTTTCTGAGGTTCGTGGGGCATCCACGAACCAGGCCCTGGACCCTGGATAGGACAGGTGAGGCATGGAGCTCTTGCAGCTGGATCTGTTTGTCCTAAATTCAGGACCCTGATTCCTCCACACTAGATTACAAAACCTGGTGACGTGGCAATTCAGCCATTTCCTCCTGAGCTACTGTGAAAAAGCACTCTTTCGGTGGCGTGACGCAAAAACGAGTTTCACCACCCTTCCCTTAGATGACAAACAGTGTCAGATTTTTCTCCTTCATTCACTCCCTCGTCCTGGGAAATGAAGCCAGGTGCCCCCTGCTTCGCAAGACAGCGGTGGTGCCTGCAGGAGGTCAGCCAGATGCCTGATGAGATTTCTCCTGCTAACTCTGCCCACCCCACACTGAACCAGCAGCCCTAGAGGAGCCTCCAAGTCTAAGCAGGCTCAGAAAAACAGCAGCTTCTCCAGCTCCACTGAGAGCGGATTCTCATGGTGGTAAGAGGATATCAGCGTTCCACCGTTCTGAAGACCTGGTACTCAAGAATGAAGTTATACTGTGGGGAATCACAGCTCCTTGCTGCAGCTCCAAGCATCAAGAACTGTACCCTAAGTTGCAAGACCAGTAGCCAAACTGTGTGAGAACAGACTCCATATAATTAATGCCACGTTAAGGACCACAGAATGATATGGGGTTGGAAGGGACCTCTGGAGACCACCTAGTCCAAGCCCCCTGCCAAAGCAGGTCCACCTAGAGAGGTTGCACAGGAGCATGTCCAGGTGGGTTTTGAACGTCTCCAGAGAAGGAGACTCTGGATGAGAGTCAGAAGGACCTGACTGAAGGATCATCTGAAGGATGATTTGCACACTATCCAATCACAGGTTTGCTATCTAGTTCCAACCTTTTCCAAAGCCTAAGAGAAACACGCAGAACCTACAGTAGCATCTTAAGACAGGAATCCCCTTCCAGGACTTTAGGGAGGGCAGCGAAGACAAGATGTGTGAAGGGGCTGGGAAAAGGCTGTTTGTGTATCCTACCAGCAGCAGCAGAAAAAGGTTTAAGGCGTTTGCACTTGAGAGCTCAGCAGAGGAGTGAACAGAAAGTCTTGGAACATCTGCTGAAACAAACAACTGGAGGTCATATTCCAAGCAGCAAAGAGATGGGAATAAGGAGAGTGACCTCTCCAAAGACACTGGGTACAACTCTCTGTTCTGATTACCCATTACCTACCCACCACCCCCTCAAACCAGCTACAACATTAACACCACAGTTTCACCGGCTCTTCTAACACCACCCTCGTTCCACGTGTCGTCATCCAAGAGACTGGCACCTGAAAAGATTCAGGCTATTCCACTGGTTCCATCCTACCTAAGAAACAACAGGACACCAGGAACCTTTTTAGCTTCTGTAGTCCTAGAAGCCTGTTAGTGAAGATGAACAAAACCTAAACCCTAGCAATCGCCACGTAGTGCCTAAGCCACGACAGTGTGTCGGGGCCAGTGAGATACATTCAGCCACTTTGGTTTCTGCCTGCATCCAGAAGCTGAGAAAAAAGCAAACTGATCTTTGTCTACATTGATTCCGACGGGACGCCCACGAGGAAGCACACAGAGCAGCAACGCAAGGACCACAAAACAAAACGGCTCTGCTGCTGTGGGACTGGGAAGAGAGTATGTGTGAGAGACAAGCCTGATCTTCAAATCACTGACCTAGCAACGACTGCCACCCCTGTGGCTTTGTCGCCTTTATACAGGCAGATTGAGAAGCAAAAGCCACCTTCAGAAACAGGAATTGTTGGTGATTATTTATCTACCATTCCCTAGAAGATTCCCTTGACAATTGTCCTTGAAGAACTAGGGCTTATTTCTGCATTCTGCTAGCCCAGAACTTAGAAATCCATTTCCTCAATCCATACACCAAGCAAAAAAGATACCACTTTGTTATTACTGTGATCTTCTGGTAATAAACTTTCAGTATTTTTTTTTTTTAATGTGTTAACAATGATTATCCACCCAGTTACTTTCAGAGAAAATATAAGCAGCATTTTTTTCCCAGGAACTTCTAAATTAAAAAGACCTTCAGGTAATTCTGTAAAACATTTAAGACATCATAAATAAACTTATTTAAAAATCACTTTCCAAACAATAAATAAAACTCTTCCTTATTTGAAAGTGCAAACAGGCTGCATTATAAAAAGTATAAAGCAAGACTGCAGAAGTGCGTAATTACTCAGTAGTGACCAAGACACAGTTTCTTGTTTTGGTGCTGCTGGTCATCTAGTGATTTTGTTTTCTGGACTCCATCTAAAGAAAAAAAAAATCATGAAACTTTAATATAATACTAAGCACAGTTTAAATACTGAACACACACAGACACACTGGAATAACATCAGGTGGGGGGTTGAGGTGGGGGAGCTTGTCTTCTTCCCCAGAGGAAGACACAATAATTATAGTAAAAGAAACATACTGAGGAAAAATAGCAACTTAAAACAGTTCTGTGTTGAAAATGCAAGCATACCATCCCGAAAAAAACATTGTTAGAAAAATGAACCCTGTTAAAAGTTGTCAAACAAAGCACGCCAGGATGAATCTTTCTCCAGCTGGGTTTAAAAACCATCAGCAGAGAGGAGGACAAACAGGCCCTAACGTTTTGCAGTGATTACTAATGCCATAAACACTGCTCTGAGCCCTTCCTCCCTTCTTTCCCCCCGACTCATAAGGGAATATCTAACAAAGAGACTTCTCCACTAATCTGGCTCACTAGGTATTAGGAATTGGCTTGTAGCACGTGGCTATTTATGTGCTACAAAACCCACCTTCAGCCTTTTTCAGGGTCCTAGCACAGTGCCCAATGCTTTCAGTAACTGCCAACTGTCTGTACACTCCATATCTTCGTGCTTGAGGCACAAAAATTATTTAGCTGCTTATTCCACATTATTTTCCCCTCTGGATGAGAAACATTTTAAGGACCGGTAGCTGACAGTAGACGCCAATGGTGGTTCCCTTTTGTAGCACAAATCAGCTTCGACATTAGATTCATCTAAACTCTGTTTCCAGAAGATGACAGCTCCCCTGCTACAGGGGTGCAGGCTGACAAGGATTTTGTGGCCTTTATATTATATATGTGTGTATATACACACAAAAATAAACGTTGATTGAAAAGCATTGGCATAGATTCCACTTTGTAAAAGAAGCACTGACATTTTCTGCAGAAGATATTTAAATGACTTTGATGTTTCCAATTTCTCTTGAAAAAAATGGCGCTTTTTCTAGAACACAATATAAAAAAATCTTTATAGAACAAAATTTAAAACATGATAAAGTAGTCTGAAATGATCTATGAGCAAAACACCACACTTTCAACCTTGATAACAGCATTATTTGGTTTTGTAACGTGTGCCAACGCCAAGCATTTGTTAAAACAAATTGTTTTCAACTTGCTGCTAGTTCATCTATTAAAAAAGCTCAGAGAAGTTTTCACAGCAAAATTTAACTAATTGAAATAAAGATTAATTAAGACTAATCAATCCCAGATGGATTCAGGCTTGTTTAAAATGTGATCTCACTTATTGATTTCAGCCGTAAAAAGAATTAATGAAAAAATACTTACTTTCCCTGGCTGTGGGGTCATGGAATTCGAGGGCGTTATTGTGCAGTGGATTCAGTTGCCACTGGTAAAAGAAGAACAAGAAGTTTACTTATTCCAGAAGATAAAAGAAAGAGCAAAAGGAGGAAAACAAAAGCACCCTACAGTCCTTCACTGTAAGACACGACTAAGGGTGAAGTGGGAAATGAAGGGCTCTTCCTCTAATGCATTCTTGCTTTGAGGATAAAAAGCTATTAAGGGATACGTGGCCATTTACTGCCTTGAGACTGGGAAATCATCCTGTTCAAACCGACACCGCTGCTGCCTGTCACGGTGAGCACCCTGAGCGCAGGTGCACTTGGCCACCTTCAAAACCCACCGCGGCTCTTTCAGGAGCTGCTGGAAGGGCCTACAAAATCCCCCAGTGATCTCCCACAGCAGCAGCCGTGCTGTGACAGGGAGGCTCGGAGAGAACTGTGGAGTGTGAAGAGACCACATCAAACAACGGCAACGAGTTTGAAGGAAATCCGCAAGGAAATTAGAGAAAACAGACACACTCGGCCCCAGCACCTGGCGTATGGCACAGCACTTCTCCCCAGTGTCGTGACAGAGCAACCTCTCCATTCCACTCCCTTGACTAAACAGCACAAGAGAACACTCCTCTGTGCTGGCTGAAGATGACTGCTCACTCCACGCTCCCCCAGTGCTGTCCAGAATTTTCAGAATATAGTACAATTACAGACTTACTGTAAATTTGCTTACACCCTCAAGTTCGCCAAACTTCATATAGGAGATGTCTGCTTTCTTTTTTCCAGCATCAACATCTCCCGCATAGATCTGCTTGATACCAGCCCCTTTGATTAACGGGACACATTCATCACATGGGCATTTCGTCACAAATATCATGCTTCTCTCATCCGGCTTTATTTCTCGACACCTACGAGCAGTCAGAAAACAGAATTTCAGAGTTTATACCTTGATAGTTTTAAAAAGTGACAAATTTGAGCAAGAGCAAGCAAAAAAAGTGTTGTGTTATCTTCTCTCAGAAGCCACTTATATCTCATCAAGTGCACAAGTACACAACGGTACCTGATTTGGTTTTACTGTCTGTGAACAAAACACCCATCCCACCTCTCCACACACGTCATTTTCAAAAGCCTCAGTGATTGCCACACTTCCATATTTCAGGTTATAGCATGGTCCTAGTAGGAAGCAGAGGCAGTGGCTTCTATCTGAAGGAGAGCTGCCACGCATTGGAATGAATATCCTTTAAAAGCCAAGTTTACTTGGGAATTTTGAAGGAACGAAAGGAGCTGACTGTCCATGCACATCCAAGTTCTGCATCACAGGCATAAACAAGACTGTGATTGCAATCCACACTTCATCACAGTGACATCACGCATTTGTCATGGAATTGTTTTTGAACCATCTCCTCCTCTTCTGTGGTAAAAATGAACCCATTACCTAAATGTCAAGGCGTTCTGCTCCGCATGTATAATGTATCTGAACTTTCTGATTTCCCGATCTTTTTGTTTATCGTCCATGTGTGGAAAATCAGCGTATTCAGATCCAACAGGAAAGGCATTGTAGCCACAGCCTACAAAATACATGGCTCCTGTTCCATCACAGCTTCTCTGCAATAGTAAGCAAAGCATCAAATTGGGAGACATTTAAACTGAATGCTAAGTCAAAGCGTTGTGCAATGTATGCTTTCACATTATCAGTTACAGCAGTTCAAAGGGAACTCAGCTCCTGCTAACTGCTCCATGTCTGCATGGAGCTTTTCCACTAAGATCCACAGCACCCACATGGGCAAACTGTGGACAACACTCTGCACCAGGCTTTAGAGGCTTTCCTTTTAAAATCAACACTGATAGCAGGAACAAAAAGTCTGCAGTAGTTAGGCCTTAAATATTTCTGCGCTGTACAAAATTAAAGACAGCTGGAGTTAGTCCCTGAGGTGCCACAGACTGTGTTTCACCAGGCTCTCAACAGCCCCGGTGACCAGGAGGCTGAACAGGTAGAAACCCGCGACTGAAATCAGAACAAGAAACAAAACAGCAATAAGCAGCTGGTGACTGAAGCTCTAAAAACAAATGGAGAGTATATTGCAGCTGCACAAAGAATGAAGCTTCAGTAACAGGCATAATCAGAGACATAAAGAAATAAAAACTTTATGTTCGGATGGGAAAAAGCACAGTAAAATTATTTGTGGAAAAATACCACTTTGATCCGAACAGGAATGTGCTAAAGCCAGTACAGCCCTTCAACTGCAACAAAAACCCTCAAGAGATTGTCAGGCTGTGATTGCACTGAGACCTCTCCAAAAAAAGAGTTGTGGAGAAGGGCCATGCAGAGCAGGCACATGCTGCCTGACCAACAGCTCTGGAAAAACCTTGCAGCACCAGGACACCTGGAATAACTGACACTGAAAAGTGAAGCAGAGACACTGTAGTAGTTACTAAACTCAATTATACTTCACAGAATCACAGAATCACATGGGGTTGGAAGGAACCTCTGGAGATCATCTAGTCCAACCCCGCTGCCAAAGCAGGTCCACCTAGAGCAGGTTGCACAGGAACATGTCCAGGCGGGTTTTGAACGTCTCCAGAGTTGGAGACTCCACCACTTCTCTGGGCAGGCTGTTCCAGTGCTCTGCCACCCTCAAAGTGAAGAAGTTCCTCCTCATGTTTAGATGGAACTCCTTATGTACAAGTTTGTGCCCGTTTCCTCTTGTCCTGTCCCTGGGCACCACTGAAAAAAGACTCACCCCATCCTCTGGACACCCACCCTTTAAGTATTTATAGATCAGATCCCCCTTCAGCCTTCTCTTCTCCAGACTAAAAAGACCCAAGTCCCTCAGCTTTTCCTCCTAAGAGAGATACTCCAGGCCCCTAATCACCTTTGTAGCCCTCTAGGCACCTAATTATCTTTGTAGTCCTCCATCCTGACAGCATAACAATGAGCTAGTCATTAGCTTAGTTACTAAAGAATAAGAAGTGCAAGCTTTCTATAGCACTGTACCTGTGTATGAAAAACACACCTGTATAAACTTAAAGTAAAATAACAAGCTCACAGCAGATACAAGTACATGAATTTCGAATGCAAGAAAAAGTAACTTTTTCGATACTCACTGATTTTTCTTCTGCCCAAATAATAGCTCCAACTCCTGTTTTATGATCCTCTGAAATACATAAAATTTTAGCAGTAAATAACAAATAAAGCATTTCTGAGTTATCTGTGCATTAACATGACATCCTAGAGTAAGGAATAACATTCACTGTTGCTCCATGGACAGGAGAAAAGAAATGCAGAAAGATTAAGAGCTTCAAAATCATATGAGTCTACTGCAAAAGCTGCGTCTGCTTTAACTGCAAGGCCAGCCACTCTCAGACTTTGCTACATACATTTGTTCACAAATGCTAAGAAGCTACCAATACATATATCAGATAAGAAAATGTGTGACAAGAATTTATGTGGACAGGGTCACTGATGTGAGACGACAAACTGATAAAAACCTTCTTGTTGTTTACTGCTTAATTTAATTACATCATTTCTGCCATTCCTTAAATTTACGGTTCTGTGGTCTGAATTCCTATCGAAACCAGTTGTATTTTATATCTAACTCAGAGACAAAATGTTAAGAAATGGATTTTGGGGAGTGTTTCCTACTGCCACCACAGGAAAACCAGAACAGAAATTTCACTATGTGACTTGGAAGATTTTTATGGAACTTGGAAATCTTCCCCAGCACCATCCTTAGTATCACTCCCATATACAATCACTCAAAGAGGGTCTTTCCTGCCAAAGATATGTTTTATGAGGGTTGACTTTATTTATATTCTGCATATTTATTAGTCACTGATGTATATTAAGCCAGCACAGGAAGTATCCTACTATCTTGCTCCCATTATATCCACCTATATAATAATGGAAAGCATCTAAATATGTGTGTGTGGTTTTATAAATATGTGTGTGTGGTTTTAGGGTTTTAAAAAAGCATCTACCCTATCTAGATGAAAAAATCATCACTAAGGAGTCCTACCAACTTTTAAGTCTTCATATTCTGTTCTTTGGAAGAACGTACCAGTTTTCTGCATTGCTACCCAGACAGAATAAAGTAGCTAACAGAAGTCATCTGTATCAAAAGATCGTCAATAACCACCCTTCCACCCTGAAAGCCTGCACATCAAAACTCCAGCACCTTTGCAAAGAAACCCCCCATCAGATATATAATCACTTTCACTAATAAGATTTGAGCTAGGAAGCTTAACATAACTGTACTTAATGCCCTACTAGAAGGATGTTATTTCACTGCTCTTTTCTGAAGAGGTGTACATAATATGCTTAAAATATTGGCACTTATTTGGTAACAGAAACATCTTGTGAAAACTCCGTAAAAAAAAAAGAGCCTCAGAGCAGCTTGAAGAATTTACATGTCATTGTATTCTATTTTCAGACAGGTGTTGGACATGTTGGCATGGCAGGCTTTGCTAGCCCTTATGTGAAATGCCTGCCCTGATTTTCTCTTGGAAAGCTCAGTGCTTTCACACACAATACCACGTACCCCCGTGGAGATTTTACTACTGCTGCTGCTCCTGTTTCACCAACGTAGGAATGGAATTCAGCAGCTTGCTCGGGGAAGTATTTGGAAGAAGTAAGGCTGAAATTGAGAACTCGTTCTCCTCATGAGACCCGTTCTTCCTCCCCTGGTGTGACAACTCACCTGTGCGGTAGGCGAGCAGTCTGGCCTGGATCATGCAGTGCCTCGCGACGTCTTGGGGCAGACCCTGATGGTCTGTATCATTTGCTCGCCGTGATTCACTGTTGTAAAACCCAAAGCAGCCAAAGTCAGGGACGCTGGCAGCCACCGTTGCCAAGACCAAGACAAGATCCTTCATATTTTGCCTAAGGTTGCTGAAGTATGGGTTTTCACAGAGGTTCTCCAGTCCCATCGTCATCAATATTTGCTTGTGCGTCTCCTCATTTGAAATTAGGAATAAACTTTCGTACTCTTTTATTCTCTCTTGCCTACACGCAGTATAAAAGTCAGTACTAGAGTCAGGCTGAGATTTTGCTATTTTCTGAATAAAATCAAGCTTGGTGGAAGTTTCTTCAATAAATTGCACCATATAGCACACCAAGGGCTGAAGCAACACACACACTCGAGCACGACTGTTTGACTTGAGTCTTTCTACTGCTTTGGCATCTAGCTTTGCATCGTCGGTCGTCAGGGGATTGGAGGCCTCATTCTGCAAGCTGATCTCAGGATCTGCAGGCCAGTAGGAAATCCTGTTCACCCCAGCTGGAAGAGAAGATAATGCAGCAAAAAGAACCATTCAAGCACGGTGGAACATAAACATAATTTTTGAAACACTATTGCCTAATCCTGTTTTTAATCCTTTAAGGCCATGAATGCTGTTTTAGTAGCATCTGGACAACAAAAATGCTACCATATACAAGAGCTTATCAGACTATTGACAAAAACCAGAATTTCCTAAGTTGTAAGAGCTTTGTGGCAGCCTAATTTTGCATCTTCCCTACAACAGATACATTAACACTGCATTAAAAAAGTGAGCACTAATAGAAGCTGCTGCTGAGATTAAAAAGCAATACTTTCAGAAGGGTTGTCCCAACAGATCCCATTTCAGGAAGTGAATAATCTGACTTGTCCTCATCTCACTTGGCAAAAGGAAACCATAAGGTAGTCTCTGTGATTTATGTATAAAAACCACCCTTCCTCTGGTGCCACTGACAAGCAACGGGAGGGCAAGGAAAAATGTTGTAATGTAGGCCTCGTCATCAGGCTTCTCTGGCAAATCTCAGCTGTACATCCCAACCCAGAGACAAGAACCACCAATAATAATAATAGTTGCACAGAGACACAGGGTCTCAGTAGTAAACCCTAGTTTCTTCATCATCAGCTTGAGAAAATGTACATCCAATATTGTTTTCAGTATTGTGGAAAATACCAGTGCAGGCTACACAAATTAGAATCATAGAATCACAGAATGGTTAGAGTTGGAAGGGACCTTAAAGATCATCGAGTTCCAACCCCCCTGCCATGGGCAGGGACACCTCCCAATAGAGCAGGTCGCTCAAAGCCCCATCCAGCCTGGCCTTGAACACCTCCAGGGATGGAACATCCACAACTTCCCTGGGCAACCTGTTCCAGTGCCTCACCACCCTCACAGTAAAGAATTTATTCCTAATTAGGAAGAAATCCAATTAGGGATTGGCATTCACAACTGGGACAGTCCAAAGAGAAAACGGGCTTTCTGATACCACCGATCACAAGTATAGCATTTACTTCTGCTCTGCTACAGTCATTGCTTACCGTTTACAATCATTTTTAAACAAGTCGAACAGGGTTTTCTGGAAAAATAAAGGTCACAGTTTTTAAGTCTTGACCCGTGTTTAATGAGAGCAATCTGGCCAGCATGCAGGTCTGTACTGGAACAATGAAGACCGACAATCTTCATGTTTTTCACCACAACTAGGCCACTCTTCTTTACCTACAGAAAAATGCATCATCATTATTATTATTTTATTTTGGTTTACTTTTTTCAACATCAAGTCTTTAGAGATGTTACAGCTCCTCCTTGGGTAATGCTAATCAGCCAGGACCAGAGCATATAGCTTTTCAGTACAAATTGTGATATGAATCATTAAACAATCTCTGTTACACTTCCCCTAAGTAGAATTATTTTTGGTGGTTTCTACATGTGTCTGTTAATATCAGAGTGCTGTGCCCCTGTCAAACTTCCAACAGGGACTTGCCACAAATTCCTGATTTTTCTGGTTGTTGCTTTGCCTATAACAACACTCAGAAGCAGCATAGAAAATTCTGTCAATTATAGCTGAAAACCCCTCTGAATCATCCAGCATCTGGAAATGCTCTTGAATTTAATTTCTGCCTAAATCTTGACCATCCCGGGAGCCAATAGCTTCTCTAGCTTTATTTCTATCTCTTCATTTATAGAAATGAATCCTGGTTCTGAAGAACCTTCCACGGAAAAAGTCTGCATACCACAGACAAGAGCTCTTACATCCAGATTCCCGTGGATTGTCAGGGAACTGGATACAGGCTAGTCTGATGATGGAGGTGGGGAAGCAGATCTCATCATGTAATCCAGCTGCTACCAGGACAATGTTGCCTTAGATCTGTAAATTATTCAATTTTTTTTTGAGGTTACAGAAATGAGGCTGTACTAAAGCCCTGCTGTAACCCAAGTGCCATTCCTAACTACATTACTAAATAGGAAACTGCTTTTGAAGTCTGCATGCTGCTCATCTATCCCTCTTCTGGATCCAGCCTGGCACATACCAAGCTCCAAAAATTAGGCCTAATTGTCAGTCAAATTATTTTCCTATCTTTCCTTGTCCTGGTTGATACATGCGCTACGGATCTTAGCACATGCGCATGCTCTGCAGAAAGCAGTAATCACTTTAAAGCGTGCAATAACAACTCTGATCACAAAAGGAAACACTTTGTCCTGTTCCAGGACACTCTGAAAATCCCCCTCTACTTTGAAGTGTAACTGGCAGCTGTTTAGAAGACCCATTCTCAAGGACAGTTTCTTTTCATTGTCACAAGTTCTTGGTCAAGTCATTCCGGGCACCTCCACTGTACAAGAGAACTCTTCTACAATCATGAACATTGACATTTTAAAGAATTACCTCTACCCCATCAACCACACTGATATTAAAGTATATACTAAGGAGTGCTCGCTATACACCATGCATCCTTTGTTATGCTCTTCAAAATACCCACCAGCATTTTTTACTGTTTGCTTCACCTGTCAGGGGCATACCTTGCCTCTCAAAGTTTTTCAGAAATAGCATGCTGTTTATCCATTTTGCTATTTTTCTCCCATCAGTGGATCTTTTTCTACTTCTAAGAAATATCTGAAAAATGTTTATCAGTCTTTTTTGTTGTTTTTTTTTCCCCTCTGGACTATTTATCATGTAGAGAGCAGTAAGGTTAAATTAACTGCAGGAGCTATTAGCATCTGTTCAGAAATACCAATTAACAGTAAACAGACATTTTACCTGTGATTTTTTGTGTTGCTCAGACGAGGGGAAGAGCTCCATCCAGAGACTGAACAAAGTAAAAAGATTTACCTTAGAAAGTCTTGGCATTTGACCTGTTATTAGAAGAAAGAACAAAATAAATATTTATTAAAGAGTATTTAAAAAGAACACCCACATTGTTGAACAATATTTTCCAAGTCTTCTACACCACAGCTGCTACAGAAGTTGGTCATCAACTACTTCTGCCGTCACAGCAGCTAAATCTGCACTGTCCTCTTCAGGACAGGAGCTGTCACCTCAGAATGCTCACATCTGGGTGCAGAGATCAGATTTGTGCGACAAGAGAAAGTGATGAACCTTTCACTGAAATTCAGTCAGTTAATTCTACTGAGAGGTGAGGGGCAGAAGTCACAGATCAGACCCCACGTAACTTAATGTGCTCAAACGATCCACAGATGCTTACAGAAATTTGAGACACAGCTTGTGATTCAGCTTCAGGCTCACCACAGAAGAGAGCAAAAATATCATGATCTCACACTGACACCCGCAGCAAAAGTGGATGAGCCATTGTGAAACCTTCCAGTTACATCAGTTCTGGAGAAACCCACTTCTGGATTTTTACAAACTGCTTAAATTTTGGTTAGATCTTTACAAAAATTTAAACCTATTGCTCAGGCTGTCAGTTCTGACTAAATAACCAAAAAGGTAGCAAAGAATCCCTTCTTGGACCACCACCTTGTGCCGTGTTGTGGTTCTACTCAAAATCTGGACGTTGTCCTGTGAGGGCTGATTTTTCAGCCCTCTGAGCTCAGCTCAGCCCTCGGAACTCAGCTCACTGAGTGTCCCACAAATGAAAAAGGAGGAAGTACTGCATTGCTCACTAATGCTTGCACCTTTCCACATGTACAGCTGTCTTGCCTCACACTTGGCAAGAAGTTAATTAAACCTTCAGAAAAGCTCCAGTCCCTATTTCAGGGGCACTTACAGAGTGCTGAAATGAACACGTATTCCTCCATATGTGCTGTCTGACACGGGCATTATTTCTGTTTTTATCCCTTCCCGCAAACTTTAAAGTTTTTGCAAAGCAGTAAAAGGCAGAGGCAAGAACAGAACAGAGAAAAACACTTCTTTAAGTAGTTCCAGGAGTTTGGAAGAGTTATAATCAGATACTAAGATTGCTTTGGTGGGGGGGCGGGTTAGTTTAATGACATGTCTGTGAACCCAAACAGTACAGCAGATAAACATACGCAATCCACGACTGGAATACCATTTTCAGATAGTATTTTAACAGCTTTCTTTCCCACATAAATGTGATGTTGGAAAGCAACCAAAGACCTCTCAGCAAGCACCCTCTGATGCCACACTGTCCACCACTCCTTTAGGCTGCCCAGCTGTGCACAAGCCCCACAAGGGGCACCTGGTTAGCACAACTGGACACATGTACTAGAAATGTACATGGCAAGTAGTGCACATGAAGATTTGTTATCACTTGCACTAAACCACCCCACCAGAACTAAGTCTACAAGCCACATCTAAACAAGTAGAATTTGTTTTCTTCAATAGGCATTTGAGTTCATCCTCATTACAGCCCGTTCACTCCTGTTGCAGCACACACATGTGCAGTTCCCAAATGGCAAGCTAGAATAAACCATGCAATTTATACCAACTCACATGTATACCATCATGTTTTCTAAAATACATTACAATTTGGCATACAGAGTAGTTTTAAAACAGAATACACCAGAAACAAGTTTGTTTTCTTGGACGTAATTTGAGTGCGACCTGTCAAACACATAGAATGTTCCAGGACACAACTCTTGTTGTGAATTGTCATGAAATCTTGGGGCCTACAGGAGAGATGGGGAGGGACTCTATCAAGAAGTATAGTGATAGGATGAGGGGTAATGGTTTTAAACTGAAAGAGGAGAGATTTAGATTAGATATTAGGAAGAAATTCTTTACTGTGAGGGTGGTAAGGCACTGGAACAGGTTGCCCAGAGAAGCTGTGGATGCCCCATCCCTGGAAGTGTTCAAGGCCAGGCTGGATGGGGCTTTGAGCAACCTGGTCTGGTGGGAGGTGTCCCTGCCCATGGCAGGGGTGTCGGAACTCGATGATCTTTAAGGTCCCTCCCAACCCAAACCCTTCTATGATTCTAACAATTTATAATGAGAAGCAGAATATTATGATGAAAAAGGAAAGACCTGTGGTCACAGTTATCATATCTATGTATCTGCATCTATATTCACTTAGGTAGTTAAATGTTCCCTGAAGTTCAACAGATTGAAGAGAATACTGATAAAGAGGCCTGGAAAAAAAGGCAGAAGACATCTTACAGAATTTAAAGCAACTACAGAAGACTGGGGAAGAAAAGCCATCAGACTCTGCTATTGTGAGCCAAACCTTAGAGGAAAGGAGTGCTCTTTTTCAGGTACATCAAGTCCTCACAGCTTCCCCGCTTCACACAAAGGTACGATTTAATTCCTCCAGGTTAGGGACCTCGCTCCAGTGAGGCAATGCATGCTCCAGGGAAAGTGTGCTGTCAAGGCCAGTGTCTAAAACCCTGCTGCTCCTGCACCTCTGAGCAAAAAGGAGCAGGGCACTGCCCATCCGGTCACAGCTCAGATACA